GCATCTTAAGTACTCCTTACTTCAACTTCTGCCTGTCTTCTACTGTAGGCTGCCTGTGTCAGAGGCTCTTACTGTATATTCTTGTAATGTGGGACATAGCAGGCCCTAGATTTTGATTGAAAACTTTTCTACATATTCTGTAGAAGATAATTTGTATGTAGACAAGTTCCAGTATGATTTGGACATCTCAGTTCTTATGAAGGGACCCATTGATAGCTCTCTACTTTTTTTCTCCCAAAAAATCAACAGTTATGGATTGAGTATCCAGTAAAACTTTAAACAAATAGTTAACCTCAATTTTAAAAACTAAAGCTTAGATAGATAAATTTTGACATTCCATCATTGTTGAATCCCTCAAAGCAAGAGTTTGCATTTATGAATATTAATCCCTTTATCATGTCCAGTTTAGTTATTATTTTGTGTAATCCCAATTATGAGCTAATTATAAAGCATTTATGTATAAAGTGATTTAAAAAAATAGGAAAAAAACAAACAAAAAACAGAACAAACCAAAACAGAACAATTGTATTTGAGCACTGTTTTATAGGCAAAAGAAAAAGAAAGTTCCAGAAGAAAATGTTGTAACTCATTTGTGTTAGTTTTCTGGGGAAGAGATGGCTTTGCCTGGAAGTGGTGGAGCTCCTAACACGTGGATAAATACTAGGCATGAGGCTGAAAGGTAGTGCCTTAGGAAGAGACTGTAGTCAATGTCCTGGCTGAGTTGAGTCTATATGAATCCCAGGGGGAAGAGTTGGACAGAAGGAAAAAGCAAGTTTTGAATCTGAAATGGAAATTTGAGAATTTACATGTTACAGCTACCTATCTCCAGATGTTGATCCTTGGTCTTTACTTTGACCTTAACTGAGATTTGTGTTAAGGGAGATTCCATTGTAGCAGGTAAAATCAGGTCATTTTGTTCCCATAACTCTTGAAATCAAGGTACTGGGTCAGTACTGGTTGCAGTCCTCGATACACAACAGACTGCTGCAGATTTCTCGGTGTTAAGTGGATATTTCACCACTTGGCTGCATACAATAGTCATGTATATATTCAAGAAAAAAAAAGGCGGGGGAGGAGGAGAGAGAGAAGAAAACCCTGTCTTCTCACTCATCAGTGAGCTAATCAACCAAGAGCAGAATGATGGGGGTAATCCCAAGCCCTGTATTCCCCAGATGAGCTTGTATTATCCAGTAGAAAATTAGTCTGAACACGTTACAAGCCAGTATGCATGTCAGATAATTGAAAGAGCTGGTACAACGTATGTTTGTATGGCAATCCATTTCAGTTGCTTCTAGTTGGTATACGTACTGTATGTATAGTGGATATACATGCTGCATGTGTAGTGACATATACGTGGTTATATGAATAAGCAGATGAATAAAGTATGGCTAGTATGCTGAAAGCCATGGATGAAACTGAAGTTGAAGCCATTCTCTTCATTATCCAAAGAAGTAGTATGGTATCACAGTACAATTTCTGTTGCTGGAGTGATGTAATATAAAATGTTTTATGTGTGTAGATTTGTGCTGTCGACATAAAAAAACCCAAAAAACCAAAACACCCAAACCCAAGAATAATTACATTTTAGTCTGTTTATACAGTAGTATATAAAAATTTAAAAATTACTCTCCAGACCTGGCTTGTTTACTGCCTATTGTGCTCAGGAAGGATGTAAGCACTCAGTAGCTGGCTCACTTATTTATTGCTTGCTTACTTAGCAAGGGCTTGAGTCTGCCCTCTTCCCTGCCCCTTCTCTTTTTCAGTCTTGGCTCTACTATTAAGAGTATGAGAATGTAATTTTTAACACATTTCTACTGAAATTTTGGCTGTTCTTAACAAGGGGTAGAGGTGAGGTTTCTCTTTTGTTGTTGGTTGTCTGGGGCAGTGTGTGCCTTGCTTTTGCTGCTGTAGCTGCTGGGTAGTTAGTCACCATGAAGGCATCCATAAGTGAATTGTATCCATCATTGCCCAGGGCATAGGTGTAACCTGGTCAGTGATGGATACAATTCCATCCTTGTAAAAGGTGTTTCCTTTACAATATGTAAAACAGTTGCTAATGAATGTACATCTGTAAACATGCTTTCCATGACTCTGAATGCTTGGCTGTCAGAAAACTGTAATATTGTAAAAAGATCTGCCACTTTGATGTGCTTGGCCTTATGAGATCTAGATGCAAATTCAAATGGTAAGAGTAGGATTATAAAACTGACTTTGCTGTAAAAGTTTGAATGAACCTAATGCTACTTTTTAACATGTTTTGTTTTGTGGGGGTTTTTTGTTGGTTTTGTTGGGTTTTTTTTCCTTCTTGCCTGATTCTTGGTAACGGAGCAAAATTCTTTTGGATTTTATGAACTTGACTCTCATTCCTCTGCCCCTCAAAAAATCCCAGAGTGACATTATAGTTTCATTGAAGTGCATGGGGAGTCTTCTACTGACTGTACTGAGGCCTGAAATTTGTTCAATTTATTATTTGAATTTCCCTTTGTTTGATATTGTGTTGACTGCACGTACCAGTATTAAGTACATTACCACATTTCTTGTTCATTTTGCTTTCAGTGCATTCACACTGCATGCAAAAACATTTCTAGTATTTGAGACTGGAATGTGTATTTCTCTTCACATTTGTAGGAAATCAATGGCTATTAACCATTTGTTGAGTGAACATTGAAATCTCTTCTTCCTAGGAGCCATCATTTGAAATGCTTCCATTGACTGGGAAAACAATAATATTTGATAGCTTTCCTGATCCTTCAGATACCTGGGAAATAATTGAGACTATTGGCAAAGGAACATATGGAAAAGTTTTCAAGGTGTTAAATAAGAAAAATGGCAGCAAAGCAGCAGTCAAAATTTTGGATCCTGTTCATGTAAGCTACTTAAATTACTTGGTTTGTGTTTATTTAATTGTAAGTTAATTTAGGTAGTCTTTTTGTATCGTAAGTTATCTTGGAAGTGGTTGCATATGGTAGAAGTCAGAAATAAATAATAATAAACTTTGTTACTTTTACTTTTGTTCCCCCTTGTTTATCTCTTAGTTTCAGAAGCAGAGCTAATTATTTTCCTTTTCAGTACCAGGAATCCTAGCTTCTTCTGATTTTGCTGTTGTTACTTTTCCTTTTTTTTTTTACGTACTAGCCAATAAGTTATGTTCTTTTAAGTGTTTTAGATGTACCTTCAAGGATCTATTTTGAGTACATGCTTTTAGCTGAGTTACGTGCTATGAGTGATACTTCAAAAATAAAATAGCATACTTTATTTTTATTGTTACTGTTAGTTCTGCGTTTTCAGAATGTGCCAAAATACGTAGATATCATAGAGGAATCCATCTTTTCAAATGGCAAATACAAAGGCAATAGCTCCTACACACAAAGCACGAGATGACTGGGAGGTGGAATTATTATATTGTAGAGTATGTTTTTGTTCTCAATAACTGACATTTGTTCGGTGACAAATTAATGCTCAGAGAGTAAGGAATAACATTTTTCTGGTTTGTAAAGGCATATCCCATTAACTTCAGTGGTGCTGCATGGGGCTTGGGATTTTTCTTGAGATTAGTAACCTACAAAACATGGACAAGGAGCTGTTGCTGTTGCAAGTGGCCCCTTTGAGCTCATCTTTTGCACTCCCAGTATAGGGTTGTAGTGCATGTGCTTTCATCGCACGATCTCTGGGTAGGAAGGGAAGAGCATGTCATACCATGTGAAACGCTGCAGGTCTGGAGCTGCACAGCCATACAGGGCTCTGTCTACCCCTGTATATCACACAGTGTCTATTTATGATCCTATGGCCCTGTGAGTCCGTGTCACAAACACATGTGTTTGTGAAAACATAGCATCTTGCATTATCTTTGCTGTGTTTCTTGTTGATCTACTTTTTATTTCAACATGCTTTCAAAGCAACAAATAGAGGTTCATCTCAATTCAATATCACATAGCTCTCCCAAAGCAAACATGATTTGCAGCCAAACAATAAGGATCTTCATGAATTGAAATGCATTGGAAACTCTGGTTTTGGCTCTCTTGCGTTCTGTAAACATGGTTCTTGTGCTTACAATGAATAGGCAGGACTTTATTGCAGTTAATGTTCATCTAAATGCCTGTATGGCAGGAAATGCTTCTGCTTTCATCTATTTCACAAGTGTTCAGGAATGATTCTTAAGTGGCAACTGGCTATGGCAGGGATTACTGAAGTCATCAGGGAAACTTTCAATTGTTGTGTACACTTTGGAGGTTGTAGGAAAAGGATAAAGGATGATGACAGGAAGAAAGAAGTAGTAAAGCTGATGCTAAAGGAAAAAGAAATAGATAAAGTAGGAGATAAGGGAGTATCATAGAATCCCAGGTTGGAAGGGACCGCAAGGATCATCTGGTCCAACCTTTCTTGGCAAAAGCATGGTCTAGACAAGACGTCCCAGCGCCCTGTCCAGCTCCATCTTTAAATTGTCCAATGTTGGGGAATCCACTTCTCCTCTGGGAAGATTATTCCAATGGCTGATTGTTCTCAATGTGAAAAATTTTCCTCCTGTGTCCAATCGGAATCTCCCAGGAGTAACTTGTACTCATTACCCCTCGTCTTTTCCAGGTCACTCCTTTTAAAAAGGGAGGCTCCATCTCCTTTGTAGCCACCCTTTAAATACTGGAACGTGGTGATGAGGTCTCCCCTAAGCCTTCTTTTCTCAAGGCTGAACAAGCCCAGTTCTCTCAGCCTTTCCTCATACAGCAGGCTTCCCAGTCCTTTGATCATCTTTGTGGCCCTTCTCTGCACCCTCTCCAGCCTGTCCTGCATAGCAGGGACCAAAGCTGAACACAGGATTCCAGGTGTGGCCTGACAGGCACTGAGCAGAGTAGGATAATGACTTCCTTATCTCTGCTGCTGATGCCCTTGTTAAGGCAACCCAGCATCCTGTTGGCTTTCTTTGCAGCACCAGCACACCGTTCACTCATACTGAGCTGCTTGTCCACCAGGACCCCCAGGTCCCTTTCCACAAAGCTGCTCTCCAGCCGGGTAGTTCCCAGCCTGTGCTGCACTCCCGGGTTATGTTTTCCCAGGAGGTAGAACTTACACTTGTCCTTGTTGAACTTCGTAAAGTTCTTGTTAGCCCACTCTTCCAGCCTACCCAGGTCTTCCTGCAGGGTGGCTTTCCCTTCTGAAGTGTTTATTTCCCCACTCAGTTTGGTATCATCAGCAAACTTCATCAGGGTACTCTTGATCCCATCATCCAGCTCACTTATGAAGATATTGAACAGTGTTGGGCCCAATATGGATCTGTGGGTGACCCCACTTGTGACAGGTTGCCAGTTTGAAAACGAGCTATTTAGAACAGATATTTGGAGTAGAATGTAAAGAAGACAGAAGAAATGCAATGGCTAAAGATGCAACATAAGAAACTGAAGAGGGAAAAAGGTATAACTGATGAAAACAGATTCCTTACTTTAATGAAAAAATTAAAGTCACTAATGCAGTCAATGCCACACTCCAAGACTTGAATCTTTTAACTGAATATATTCTTTTTATTCTAAGAATAATATTCTTCTTTTCCTCCTATTTGCAAGATATCTAGAGTAGCTGCTATACCTCCATGTTACTGTTAAAATGGCAATCCTATATTAAAAATAGAGTGAAGCCAATAAACTACTTCTTTTTGTTTAAACTGAAAGTATTACTAATGGCTGCAGAGGGAGCCATTGCAATGAAGAAAGGTACTTTCTATATTTTCTTCTTCAAATTTTACAATTTTTTTTTTAAGATGGTTTCAGAATTGTACCACTTGAGAGGTGGACTGAAAAAACAAGCAGAAGATATATATTTTTATGTCACTTAGTTTAACTGATATTTCCAAATTAAACTGGGCAACTACATTATCATGGGTGATATAAGACTGAAATAAGTATTTCATGTTTTATCCTTTAGAGCTCTTAGATTCTTTGTGTTGAATAACAGCTCAGCTTTTTGAAACTGAAACAGAAAAGTGAAGGTGTTGAAATGAGGATATATGAAGATGGAACTGAGAATGCTCTTTGTCGTATTCTCAGGGCTATAAGTAAATACCATTGTGTTATCCGGCTCTTTGCCAAATTATCCTATGTCTAAGTTCACATGAAAATATTCCCTCTACTGTTTTTAAAAGAGGCACTCTTATGCAGGTAAATATGTCCAATTTAACCAAATATTTCAAGTTCTCTTCCTTCATAAAATGCAGAGGAAGGTTTTTCTTTCTAGGATGCATAGAATCAATATTTTATTCATTTCATCCTCTCTCGTTTCTCCTTATAACAGTAAAAATCTCATAAAATCTGAGTACCCTTCAGGAGACAGAAACCTCTATTAAATCATAGTAGGATGGCGGGCTAATTCTTTTCCAATTTCCTCAAGGAAGCCAGGGCATTTATTTGTTTTGGGTGTAGTTTTTTGGCTTTCAACTCTTTGGTTATTTTGTGGTTGGTTTTGGTTTTTTGGGTTGTGGGTTTTTTTGCTTTATGGCCTGTCTTTCAGTTTCTGATGGATGTATTTGCTGTCTTCATCCCTTCTTATCTTCCACTCTTTCTTTCCTCTGCCACCTTCAGTGCCTTGATTCTTTCTTCCTTCCTTCCATCTCTTTTTTTATTGGCTGTATTCTGTGCTGTGCTTATGGGAAAATTAACTTAAAATGAGTTCCTCCTTTTTTTTTGAAGAGGAAAATTTATGCTGTTTTTTGTCTACTCCAAAAAAAAAAAAATAAAATCTCTCTAGACCCCTTCCTTGTGAGAAGACTTATTCTTGTAATCTCAATATGAAAGTTTAATGGCTCAATTCCTCAAGATACTGGTGATGGGAAAAGTTCTTTGAGACCAGTCAAAGTGGTCTGAAGACAAAAGGCTAATATGAGGAACTTGAGTTGGATTTAGCATTGAAGATACCTGTGTAAGACACAAGTGAGCAAAATCCTCTTAGGAGCAGATGCCTTTGGGGGTGAACAAGATGAGAAGGAGTGTCATTCATTGGGAATACAAAGCATCCCTTTTTTCTGCCATGATCACTTCTATTTGGCAATGGTGAGACAGTTTTTGGTCCTGAGTAGGTGATTTTCATTGATATGAAATCCATTCATATGGATAGTGGAGTTCATAGGTAGCTTTCCTCTAGAATTGATTTTTCCTTTCTGTTTCTTTTTGGGTGGTTGTAAATAGCTAATTGTATTTAAAATGTTTTAAATCTGGAAACAAGTATGTTAACATATTTTTGAGATCTAAACAATGGCTGAAAATGGCTGCAGCTATTCTGCCTTTACCTGTGGCCAGGATGGATTGAATATTTTGTCAGCATGACTGAAACACAGTCTGATGGTGTCCCTCAATGAGCAATTCCAGTGCATAAGTGGAAGGGATTACCTGAGTCATCCAGTGCCCACCATTGCTGGCATCCATGTTTGGTCTGAAAGGGCTTGCACAGCTCCTGGTGCGTATGTTGACAAAACTTGTCCTCATCTCTCGCCTCCAAATGTATTTCCCTTGCTGTATAAGAAACCCAAGGTCTTCAATGAAGGACTGACAAAAAGGCACAACTCTTCTAGCTCAGCAGGAGAAACCAGAGGGATCGTGGATGCCACTGATTTCTCTGACAATAGAAAATGAGAAAAATTCCCAGATGATTCAAGAAAATGGGGTGGTAAATTAGTAAGATGTGGCTGCAGTCATACTTATTTGTGCACAGAGGGGTAGAGAGGTAGTTCCAACTGCACCTTCTCTGGCTGGGGACACCCTTGAGACTAGAGAAGTGGCATGTGACTTTCCAAAGCATCTGCATACCTACCCACTTGTGGATTGCACTGGCTTTGTCTTAAAATGCCCCTTTCCCATTCTTCTGAGGAGTGTTCTGTCATACCATGTGTGTTCAGTAGTTGAAATTGATAAAGACCAAGTGAAAAACCAAATAACTGTTTTGTATTGAATAAACAGAATCAACCTTTGCAGCCCTGCAAATGATACATTCATGTGCTGTTTGTTTTTTTCTTTGCATTATTTCAAACTACATTTGAATAGCCAGAAAGTGCTACGTGTTGTTTTTATTAAATGGTTATCATTATTTATTTATTAACTGCTAGATATTTCTCATTTGTGATACTAGGATATTGATGAAGAGATTGAAGCTGAATACAACATTTTGAAAGCTCTCTCTGATCATCCCAATGTAGTCAAATTCTACGGCATGTACTACAAGAAAGATGTGAAAAATGGAGACCAGCTTTGGCTAGTTCTTGAGGTAAATAA